CATCAAGAACAAAGGGACAGAGCTCAAAGGGCTACCAGCAGCCTGGTAACATCAGCTAAACCTCCACTGGGACCAAACCCCCACAGACATACATCATTAGATGCAACATGTTCTTGGAATTTCACTCTGAGTTTATATCAAAATAAACTGGTGTTTCAAAATATATAGAGCAATATACGTTTGCAGTCTGCTGAGATGAATCATTCGAGACTGAACCATCATCTTATCAAACGAAAGTGCTTTTACAAGAACTTTGTGCAGCTCTTCATCATACTAATGGTCCAAGTGTAACTCCTGGTACTCATAAACCTGGCTGTGTGAGTTGTTAGCCTGTTAGCTTGGGCTTGGCTTGGCGCAGTACAGCAGGCAGATACTGCAAGGCAGATGGCCCAGTCCAGGTCTCTAGAGGCCAGCTATGATGCCCGATTTTCATACAGCACCTGAATGCTGGTGCCTGCTTTACACCTGATCTGTGCTGCATGCAAACACACACACTCACACACACACTCACACACAGATGGCTGCAAGCTCAAGTACTCAGATATTTACACACTGATATCAGGTTTATCATGTTTGATGAAAACTGTTACAAAAATGATAACTAGCAGTGAAAGAATGCACTCATTGGTTGCAATAAAAATTAAAATGACAGCTTTCAAAAAGACAGAGACTACATTAAAACTATAATGGCCAGTGCAAAACTAAACAGTACTAGAAAAAAAGGGAAAAAAATTGAAAAAATTTCAGATTGTCAATTCATAGACAATCTATAAATGAATTTCCTAAAATACCCAAGAGACTTAGGTTGAAGTCTTTGATGACAGCTCACAATCTACACTCAAAAATATTAAATATTAAATTTACTTAAAATGTAAAGTGGTTACAAACGTTGGTGTTGCCTCTAAGATACTTGACTGTGTAATATGTATGTGGTCACTGAATTCACACTAAGCGATTTGAATAAATTGTGATTAAGTGAACTGTTTTTATGCTTTACTCTTACATTCAGCTTAATATGGTTTTACTCTTGGATGAAAGTAGAAGAAGCAACACAAATTTAGGTTTAAGTGTGATAAACAGTGGGATCCAAAAGTCTAAGACCACATTTAAAATCTTTTTGTTTGTTTATTTCTTTCTTTGTTTTTTTTTATTTAAACACACCAAAATAGAACAGACAGTTTCTGAATTTTGAAATTAAAAAATATTCAAGATTTCAAATGTTGATTTGTGACACTGACCATGTTAAGGCTTTTACACCAAAAATACAATATATATATATATATATATATATATATATATATATATGATCTTTTCCATTAAAGCTCATGTTCACATGGTTCTCTGGTGGATTTGATCTACTGATCTGAGGCTTCTGCACAAACTTGTGGAGTCCATGCAGTTCAAGGGCATGCGGTCATTATTCTACCAAATAATACAAAATTCTGAAATTCCTGCTAAAATTTCAAAGATTCTACTTTTCACTTAAGTTGTTTTGCTGATAATAGAATTAGTAACAAAAAAAAGAAAAACTTTGTATTTAAATTAGAAAAGAATTAGAAAAGAATAGTGTATGTAATTTTGTTCATTTACTCCCCAGCTGTTGTTGAAACATGCTCAACAGGGTACTTGGTAACTTGCTCTTACAGCAAACAGCAGTGAGGCTAAGCAGTTGAACAAGGAGTAACGGAAAGAAAGATCAGTCTAAGATGTTGGTTGCGTTTTTTGCTTTCCATGATCCAGGTTACACAAGCTACACATTTAGACAATTGTTTTGAATTGTTTTTTTCTGCTGATGCTGAAAAATGGACAGTAGGATGGTGAAAATCAACACAGTGAAAGAAGTAAAACAATATGCAAATAGCTAATGCCAAGCATCAAAGGGAATAATGTTGAGTTCACTCAACAAGGGCGCATTGATGCTTATCAGCTGCTTATCAAATGCTTATCAGTTCACTGTGTTTTACATAAACAACACAACTGTGCTCAGCTGTACTCAGTTGCATCTGTTTGTTAAGTTACACCAACAAGAAAAACATATTAAACCAACAACTGTAATTTAATTTTTCAACAATAGTTGAACATACTGATGTGATAATTTAGCATTAGCAATTAAGCCAAAACAGCAAAACTCATCAAAAACAATTCAACCCTGGATTCAGTATTCACTATAATTCTAAAAACCCACAATAAAACTGACACAACATGAAAACTAAAGCAAGAAGCTAAAATGTTTGCTTTCATGAAATAAAACTACAGCTGCACTTAAAGCTCTCTTAAAGCTGACTGAAACTGAACTGAAACTGGAAGTCAAAATAAATAAGCAGAAACTTAATGAAAATGAAAAATAATGACAATTATAAAGCTACAACCCTGACTAATACACAGAGTGAAAAAATGCTACATTGAATGTGTTCAAATGTGTGCACCATGTCATGAACATATAAAGATATATTACATCAACACAATTATTTTCAAAGCAGAATTACTCAAAAAAGTGCATGATATATACAGTACTGTGAAAAAGTTAAGCTACCACCCTCTATTCATTTCATTTTCAGTCAAAATAGACATCAAGTACAAGTTATTCATTATTCAGCATTGGCAGAAAACATAATTATCAGAACATTACACAGTATTTACTGTGCCTTTACCTTTATTACAGCTTCTTGCTATCAGACTTTTAAAGAAATCTACTGGGATATTTTTTCACACCTCCAAAGTTCAGTCTTACAAGTTGGTCGCATTTTCTTCTTTTCATCTTTTTCATCCAAGTAACTTTACTGATGCTGAAAAATGAATGAATTGGACTCGGAGTGGCTGTTTGTCTGGAAACTGTATAAACAAAAGAGTGGACACTGACTTTTGCACAGTACTGCATTTTGTGTTGAAGTGATGTTCTGTTAATTAATTTTTCCATATACGCACACACATACATTCACACACTCACACTCACACACACACACACACACACACAGAAACTGATTCACACCTGAGCTGTCATGAGGGGCGTCAGTGTGAGGCCCAATAATGAACAGCATTAATCACAGAAACTGCTGATGCAAGAAGCAAGATCATCGCCACACCTGCAAGGCCTCAGAGCAGCAAAGACACATAAGATAATACACGTGTCTTACAGCACAGTGTCATAAATTTGGAGGGCTTTTCCCAGGCCTGCATTTTACACACATTACACCTTTATTAAGTCAGCATCATTCTGAGGGGATCCCTGACAATAGAAACCACAACCACACATATTTCTGCTTGCTGTGCTTGCAAAGCTGTGTTGTATTAGTCAGGGCTTTTTGCAGGCAGTTTGAAAAAGGTATAAGTTGGTACATCCGCGCTCCAGATAAGCCACCCTCGTGTCTTAGAAAGTAAGTTTTGTGTTGATTTGGCATTTAACATAGCTACGTTTAGTTCACCTCAGCACATGCACGGCACCCACTGTACAGCGTGTTTATTTATTTACTTTCCCTCTCCTGTCCGCTTTCATTAGCGGTTTATGCTGACTCGAGCTTGCTTTCCTTCAAACGCGCTCCTCTGAACATTTCCATAGTGAAACTGAAGTCGGAGGCATTTATCAGATTTCACAGCGCGCTCTTTTCTCGGGCGTGACCCTTCTGTTGACGACGATCACGACTCAGCGCGCGACCAGACAGAAAACAGTGAAACATCGCTGCATTTTTAAGGGATTAGGAGATGAAAAGATGAAAAAGAGCAGCCTAGTTTCTCTGCTGAGTCCAACAGCGAGATATAGGCGCGGTATAATCTGTGACTGATACCCCACTGACTCGTTTTCTCGGGTTAATTTATCGGCTTTTGTGTGTAAAGCTTGCGGCTTTTGTTCGAGACGCTGCTTCCAGGCTCTGAAACGGGAGCTGTCCACAAGAGTGTGGTTCTGAAACGGGGCACTGGTTAGAACTGAAGCCGGAGCTGTTCACAGACATGTGGTGCTGAAACGGGCTTCGTTATACTGAACCAGTGGCGGAGCTGTCCACAATCACGCGGTGCTGAAACTGGTGAAATTATACTGCATTGAAATGTTGGTGCTGAAATTGGCTGTATCACACAGAACTGAAGACGTAGCAGTCCATGTGCGTGTGGACGAAAAAGCCTGCTCGCGCCACAGCACTCCGCTCAACTATCTCTACTCTGACTCACGTTAAATCGAGCGAGATTAAACACGGTTTGTGTACGTGTGTGTAGGGGGGAGTGATGCTGAGGCTCCACTGTGATATCGCGCTATCCAAACAGACACATCCACAAGCGCTATAGGCCACTGGGCATGTCTGCACCTGGAGCTGGTATCGCTGGCGCCACCACGCACGTTGTAAACATATTTAGGAACGGAAAGTGACGTTTTCTCATTCATCACGCGCGATAATGTGATGGGTACATGCATCGCAGGCCTATTTATCATTTCCCCACTATTAGTAAAGGCGTCTTTATCGTTCAGCTTCGTTTTGAAATTCTGTGTCAGGCTGATTGTGCACTGCACGGTCATATGATGTCATGACAGGCTGAATAAGAGCAACGCAATATAGCTAATGACTGGAACAACAGGAAAACAATTGGCAATAAGCGGGTCACATGGACAGGCGTCTCAATGATTCAAAACAAAGGGCTCACATAATGTAACGAGTCACCGCTGCTGAGCTATTCTGAGAGCAGAATATAGAGTATTTCATTTATTATGCGCGGGGTAAAAATGAAGCTGGTAGGTAGCCTGAGAATCAAGAAGCAAGTCTAACACGGGAACAGTAAAGGAAATGGATCAGTGATGCTCGCGCCGTGGCCACCTCTACACATTTCAGTGGAGTAAACACGAAAACGACATTGTAAGATAGCTTTACTTATACCTGACTAAGACTACATTAGATAGAGATAGGCTGGATGTGATAGCGTAAGGCTATACCTGACTCAGGCTATGATCAGCCATATCAGTGAGCGTGGGGGCTGAAAGAACACCTCTGTTTTCCAACCTCTGCCATCATACTCACACATAAGCGTGGTAGATGAACGCCCATCCTCGCGGTCTCTCCAACACGTTGTAGAGGAAATTCTGCAGCCGTCGGTAGAAGGCATTTCGTTTGGGAGGCTTCTTGCCCGAGATGCTGGACCGTTGCTTGCTCAAGATGCTGCCGCGTTTGCTCGCATCGCTGCCCGCTATCAGCAGAGCTCCGTCTCGGCTCGAGTCCGCCGCGCCCGCCTCTAGACCCACGAAGCCCACCTTGAGCTTCTTCTCGGCCTGCGGTCCGGGGTAGACCCCGCCGTTGCGGGATTTCTGCACCATGCTCGGCTTGCCGCTGTCATGGAGAGGCGCGCGCGCTCGTGGGGGTTTTCCGCCCTTCGCCAGGTAGCAGCATCGCTCGAGGCGCGCGCTGAGTATGAGAAGGGGGGCGCGCGCGCGGAGCTACGTCTGCAAGAGAGGGAAAGCCAATAGGGATGAGGAGAGGAGAGGCTGCTGCAGTCTCTCTCTCTCTCTCTCTCTCTCTCTCTCTCTCTCTCTCTCTACATCAGCACCTTCCGGCCACCTGACAACAGGAGGAAAAAAAGAGAAGTGTGTTCAATAATTCAGAGGATGGAGAGAGGTGGGCTAACACACACAGGACACGGCAGAGAAAGTATTTCAAACACACACACAAAGCGAGCAAAAAGCAAACAAAAGTCCACCAAAGACAGAAAGAGAGCGACACACTGTATGGCCAAAAGTGTGTGGACAACTGACCACCTATATAAGCTCATTGGACACCCTATTCCAAAACCATGTGGATTTGGTGCCTTTGAGGCTAAACAGCCACCACGTTTCTGATTTAGAGTGTGTCTGTGGAAATTTGTGTCCATTCGGTCAAAAGAGCATTTGTGAGGTCAGGCTCTGATGTAGGATGAGAGGGTCTGGCATGTTCAGTGGGGTTGAGGTCAGGGATCTGTGCAGGCCACTGGAGTTTTTCCAAACCAAACTCGTGAAACCATGTCTTTATGGACATTGCTTTGTGCACAGGCACACAGTTATGCTGGAACACTAAAGGGTCTTCCCCAAACTGTTGGCACAAAGTTGGAAGCATATAATTGCTTTTGTATGCTGTAACATTAACCGCTAAACCCAGATTTGTCTATCAGACTGCCAGGTAACTCCAGAGAACGTCTCACTCTGGAGAAAATGGTTCCACTGCTCCAGAGTCCAGTGGCGGCGTGCTCTACACCACTCCAGCCGACACATGGCACCGCTCATGTTTTCTTGCCATCGGCAGTTTGGAACTCTATACTGAGTGATGCAACAGAGGATAGACAATGCTTTACATGCTCAGCTGCCCCTACTCTCTGTGGGTTGGGGGGTCTGCTGCTCCTATGCTTTTCACAATAATAGCACTTACAGTTGAGCAGGGTAGATTTAGCAGGATTTCATAAGCTGACTTCTGACAAGATAAGAGAAGACAAGATAAGATAAGCCTTTATTAGTCCCACCACAGGGGAAATACAGTGCTACAGCAGCAAAGCATAGGATAGCAAGGCACTCATAAAACAGTAACAAGAAGAGAATTAACAAACAAGATATTAACTTTGTTGATTTCTTAACAAGGTTACAGGTCGTTACTTATTACTGTATATACAATATATAAAAATAAAAAAAAAACTAAAGATAAAAAATATAAACTATGACCTTCACAAAATTGAATAATATAAACATTGTAAATAAAATAAGCAAAATAATCTTTACACTATAAGCATATTTACAAGTACTGCACACGGAATATTGCACAAGAAGTTTTGCACATGAGGTATGATTATATTTCATACGGGTATGGTGATGAATTCACAGTTAATTTCTGTAGATGGGTGTGGTCTAATGGGGGGTGGGGGGGTCTACTGGGAACAGTGCTGGTTATACATATACAACTAGCACTGCTCCCAGTAGAACCCTCTTTATATATAAAGAGAGAGAGAGAGAGAGAGAGAGAGAGAGAGAGACAGAGAGAGAGAGAGGAGTTTTCAGACTTCAGCAGTGTCTCTTGGGAGAGGGACTGTGAGCTGCTGTGGAAAGAGCTAATCAAGTCATGATCAAACTCTGATAAATTCAGCAGACACACTACCTGCCAAAGCCTGTCACTGAGAAAATAGATGAGGATGAACAGATGAACAGACAGAGAGTGAGAGAGAGAGTGGGAGAGAGAGAGAGAGAGAGAGAGAAAGAGAGAGATAGAGAGAGATAACAAATCATCAGACGCTGGGAGTGGTATCTAATGGTCTGATAATGCATTTCCAAACCAATATGCCTTTGTAATCCCACAATAACTGCAGTACCCGACCATCCGTTGTCTGTGTTTTGTATTCAGGACAGATTTGCAGTGAGATGGAGACAGGTGAACAGCAACACAGGGCACAGGTCCTCTGAGACTGGAGCACTGAGGCCAGCTCTACCAGCTCAGAGGACACAGCGTTCTTCCTGAAACAATAACATGTACCCCGTGCCCTCTATCGCCTCTGCACCAACAGTGCTTTATTCAATCTCTCTGGAGTTATCTTACAAAAGTGACATCACATGTATCACATACTTGTTCAGCATGCTTTTCCCCCTCCACAGTCAATAATTCATTTTTAGGCCTTAAATTCAGGTTGATTGGGATCTATGGCCTCATGTAACCCTCATCTCATAATTTCTTGGGGCAAAATATCAAATATAATAAAATGTTATTTTGTTATTATTTTGACATTATTTTTACCGCCATCGTTCCAGTTTGCAGATCAAAGGGATTGATGAACTGGATCAGATAATGAAAACTAAATGTTTTTTGTAGACACCTGCTCGTTCAGCGTTTCTTCCGAAATCAAGGGTGTTAATATGGTGTTTGTGCCTTTTTGCTGCAGTAACAGCCTCTATTCTTCTGAGATGGCTTTTCACTACATGTTGAAACATTGCTGTGAGGATTTGATTGCATTCAGGAACAAGAGCATTAGTGTTGTCAGGTAATGATGTTGGATGATTAGTTCTGGATCATAAGCCTCCCTCCTCATCCTAAAGGTATCCTGTGTAGCTCCATCACTAGCTGACATGTGACACTGGGAATCAGGTAAGGCTACTCTAGAGCATCCCATTCTATTGGCAATGCTTTTGTAAGGTGTCAGTAATAAGCACACCTTAAAGAAGCTGAATTCACTAATTAGTTGGGGTGTCAGCAGTCTCCTGTTTTTGACCTCTGCTCTACACAGAGTCAGTCCTCAATATTGTTATAATCACGTTTATACTCATTGTAACAACATTTACACTCTGAAAAATCATTGTAAAATTAAAAAGGTATTACGTTCGTTTATTTTCTTACTTATTCTTCGCTAGCATTACTTTTGTTGTACCATATTTTCTGTACCATATTAACAGTAAATAACAGTAAAATAATTACTATATATTGTGATTTTACAGTCACTTGGACCATAAGATTATTAGCTTTTGAGCCAGTCTTGTACAACCCAAATCTCAACACACCGAAAGACACACACACGTACAATGTCTGTCTTAGCAACCCCATTCCTTCAATCACTGCTCACCTTCTCTCTCTCTCCCTCCCTTATTTTCTCTTTTTGTCTCCCGTTTTTCTTCCTTTCAGTCCCTCTTTTTCTTTCTCTTTCTTACTTTCTCCCTCTCTCACTTTCTCTTTATCTCTCTCTCCCTTTCACTCCTTTTCTCTTTTTCTGTCTTTGATGATGCTCATATCACAGCTGTAACAGCAAAAATCATTTCCTGTGGTGCTATGAGCTTACTTATCCATCCCAGATGTTCCTGCTGTTCCTCAGTACAGTGAGTGTTCTAGGAAAGTAAAAGTATTGCATTGTCTGAGAGTTGTTTGAACACTTCTGTCAAAATTGTGCAGTAACATAATCATATATTTTGCTCATCAATCCAAAGAATTACAGTAACCTAAGGGCGTGGCACTGTGTGGAAGGATCCTTCTTTATTTTAGCTGATACAATGCCATTCACAAACTATTCATAAACCAGTCCTTTTGTGCGTATGGTCTCCTGTTAATCAAGCGCTGAATGTCGTTGTTGCTGGCCTATTTGTCTAGACCTGCTTTCCACAGTAGACGTAGTAGTGGGCAGTCTACTGGTTCATCTGGTATAACTGGTTGAAATTCTTTCTCAGGTCCACTATAACTGTTTGCCACACACAAGCACAGATAATGTGACATACAAACAGTGCAAACCACACCAGTGTCAGCCTATTTAGCTGAGTGGCAGAGTCAGGGGTGTTTCAGTCGTGTTTCAAATTGAAATGACAACACACCTGCACTTCCTCTTATACTGCCTGTGAAGCTGCCTGACTTGGTCAGCTGCATCAGATAACACCTACTGGGGTCTCTTGTGCCTGCAACAAGCTGGCAGATCAGCCAGTGCTGAAGCATGAATGTATTATTTAAAAACTAATTCAAGCAGTGTCTGACAGTCGGAGTGTACAGGGACAGGCATGTGAGACAAATGACTTGAGAAATTCTAATAATGTAAAAACGTCTTATTTGAATTTCCCATTGCGCCTTAAATGGTGTGGCAGTTACATTCAGACACCTGTATAGGTGCCAGAAGGTATCCTGCTCCATTCATAGCTTTTCTTGATTGCTTACACACATTTCAGGACACAGTGTCTCTTGAATGTTCACATACATATTTTCAAAACACTACACACATTTAGCAAATTCCCCCATACTGAGAGGAAAATGAACTTCTGGCTACAAAACCATGAACATACTCCCAAAAGGGAAATAGTCACATTAAAATACTCAACATTAATGTGTGGCTGTAGTACATAAAAGTGAAACAGGAATAAATGCTTTATATGTTATTAGACATTCATCTATGTCTTTATCTATTTGTGTTATATTCTTTATGCATTTTGGTATTTATGGTAAATCACACTTTGATCTTATTTTTTCTTATTCTCTCACTGATACAGGAGTGTAGAGAAAAACACTGTAATGTTTGCCCTTTTGCAATCAGAGCTCTGTAACTAATTTCCCAATGTATGCAATTTTTGCCTTTATCTTTGAAAAATGTTTAATGTGAGATTATCATGAAATTTGTGATCAGAGATTGAGAACTGTGTTTACTGTTCTGTGAAAAAGTATGTTCATAATCAGAGAGAAATGCAGTTAAATGCATTCAGAACACAAGTAATAAACACCCGAGATTCAGATTTTCTGTCAGCGTGCAATAACAGTCTGTAAGGTGGTACAGATAATTCAAACAACAAGCTGCAGAATAAGAATTCAACCTTCAGCCTTTGTAGCAATTAATATATCAAACAGCATTTAGCACTGTTT